TGAGAAGAGGAGCAGGGTCAGCTGACCTGGGCACGGGGTGGGGGTGGGGGCTGGGTGGGTGGGTGAGAAGAGGGGCAGGGTCAGCTGACCTGAGGGGGGGGTGAGAAGAGGGGCGGGGTCAGCTGACCTGAGCTCCTCCCTGCGCCGGCGAATCAGTTCTTCATCTAGTCGGTGTATACAGGTTCCTTCACTTTTGATTTTCTCAAAATGCTTTTTCACTTCTTCTCTCCATTCAGCCTGAGTGAGGAAAGTTTAATTTTGTGAATGCTGTAGTCTCCTTCCCTGACATGTCCACAGGACCATGTACAAGGCATTTCCTTCTGTGACTCTGCATACTTTCCCCAAACTTCCTACAAGAGCTCTCTGGCCAGGGTACACGCGGAATCAAACACAAAACATCCCCACCCCCAGGGCTGTAACTGCAAGCCCCAGTCTCTGTTCTGACACAATGCTATCTCTTTTCCAGTTTCTCCACAGAGTGGCCATCAGAAACAGCACAGGGTACAGTGATCATCCCTTCTAGACAAAAGTGCTCAGCTGAAGTCAAGGGAGTAAGTATGGAGGCAGAAAGTCCTGACAACTAAGGCTCACATGTCTGGGGTTCCCATGTCGGAGTTATCTTCACATCCGCTGTCACATTGCCTTTGCTTAGGACAAAAGCCCAAGAGAAGATCTGGAGCAGAGCATCCCAGAGAAAATGTGCAGCAGGACAGAATATCACATAGGAATATGGACTGAAGGGGGGAGGGGAGAGGAAGGAAACGAGGGGCTAGGCTGGGGAGGCAACCCAGTGGGAGGAAAAGGGTCCCCAAAGGAGGCAAAGAGTCAGAGACAACCCCACTCATACTGGTAGGAGTCCCACAAGAACATCAAGTACATAACCATAACCTGGCTACAGAGGACTGGCCAGACCCACACAGCGCCCTGATGGCCGCTTCAGTCTCTGTGAGTCCCTCTTAGCCCTGCTTAGCTGATTCTGTGAGCTGTGTTCTTGTGGGGTCCTCAGGCCCTCTGGCTCCTACAGTTCTTCCTCCCTTTCTTTCTGGGGAGTCCCTAAGCTCCGTCTAATGTTTGGCCGTGGGTCTCTGCATCTGCTTCTATCCTAACATTCATTTCTGCATTTAATTTAGCCCATTTTGAGTCAATAAATATATGTAGTAAAATGTCTCCTCTGAGAATAAATCTTTGAAACAATATTGGAAGCCGCTGCAGAGATGGAATTCACATCAGAAAAATTCATTTTAGAAACTTAATAACATTAAGTGATTTAGTACTAATGGTTCAATTCCAAGCTGGTCCTGAGGTGCAGGCCTACAAGCCCAGCTGCTTAGATGCTGAGGCAGGAAGAATCCCACCTTCAAGATCTGTCTGTGCTATAGAGTAAGTTCAAGGCCAGCCTGGGCAGCTTAGCAAGACCTCGTATAAAGACAAAACAAAATAAAACAAAACACAAACAAGAAGTCCAAGGTCGAGCTCAGTGGTAGAGTGATTGCCTAGCACTCAAGAGGACCTGGGTTCCATCCCTAGTGTTGCCAAAATGATGTGATGATGATGATGGTGATGAGATGATGATGATGATGGTGATGGTGATGATGATGATGATGATTCTGCACACACAGTGGGATAACTCAGGACCTTCACTGTACTATTATGCCTTGTGGTTGTGCCTTTGTCCTCCTCTCTGCTCACTCCTCCCTCATAGTGACAGTGGTCAGAGCACCACCCTTATAACATTTTCACCCAACACCCACACTCCTCCCTTTCTCTGGCTCCATGCCTGTCTATCCCACTCTGTCACCCATCTGAAGAGTCTAATCTGGTAGCCTGTGACTTGCTTCAGCCAGTGTGGCACTATGGCAAGCATGATGCAATCACCTGTACTGGTCTTGCTTTCTTGATCCATTTGTCACTATGAAGGCAAACAGGAGTGAGGACGCCCCAGCTAGCCTGTGCCCGAGATAGCCTGTGCCTGAGCTAGCGGCCAGGGAGGACAGAGGAACTCTAGCTCCTACCCAGACATCAGCACACCCGCTAAGGGACCACCTGGGACCAGCCACCTTCCTTCTAACCTGGGATCTGACTACAGACCTCCAGGCAAATTCAAAGCATCACAGAAACTGGCTCGAACTGCCTATAGAATGGTGGGCTAAACAAATGCACATGTATTTTTTTACATGTAAGTTGTGGGAAATTTTAGTACGGTGAAGGCTAACAGATGCTTTATGGCCCAGTTCTGCTGTGGCTCTGACTGGTCCTCAAGTTCCTGCCCTAGTTTTCAGCTTTTGTCCATCAGAGTGAGCAAGGCCTCCATGCAGAGCAGCAGTGACATTGACTCCAGTGCAGTCCCATGCGGCCCTCACACCCTCTCCTTAAACAATGCCACTCGGATTCATGGTCACATCTGCCGACTGTCACAGTTACTGTCTCACCACGAATAGGGCCATGTGACTGTTACATGGTGAATAGTGCTCCTTGGCTGTCTATTCAGTCCCACGAGGTAAGAATGTGCTGGCTTACCTGAGACTTGAAGTAAGTTTCTTGAGGGGTGGCAAGCACATCCGCAGACGCAATGTCTAAATGCATGAGCGTCTGCCGGAAAGAAGGCCGGTTGCGAGGTTTACTCTGCCTAAGAGGAAATACACCATGTTCATCTCAGAGGCTGTGTGTGTTTGTGTGTGTGGGGGGGGTAGGGGTAGGGGTTGGAGGCTGAGGCTTTATTCTGCTTTATGAAATACACATTTGATTCCAAGAATTGCTATATCCCACAGTTTAGGTATACTGAGGTACAATGGAAAAATGCAGCTAGGATAAGCATCTATCGACGGCCTGGAAAGTTAGGTCTGTGACTTCCTGGGAACAGTGAAGTGATCCTAGCCATCAGCTGTTTGGCAGGGAACTGTCTCAAGACATCACACCAAACCCCTCACTTATATTTTGATCAGTTACACGCAACTCCACGTGTAGGAGCTGGCTCTACTTTACAGAGAGGTGCACCCCCTATTTCATAGGTAACAAGTCAGAGCCAGCATTTGAGTGCAAGGTTCTAAAATTCTGCAGCGTTTGTCATTCCATCACAGTGTGGTTCCTTCCAAATACCCTGTAGAGGTGTCTCTACTCTTTTCAGAGAAACTTTGATAGCTTTTTAGGCAGAAAGTAAGCGAGAACAGCAGAAAAAATGCCTTTCTTACCATGTCTGTTTCATAAGGATTTTGAATCCATCCGGGCAAGTGGAAGGAACTGGGAGATGTAAGCTGTTGCTCCCGACACCCCAGATGATGGCGGAAGAATCCACATCCTTGTAGGGGATCTCCCCTGTCAGCAGCTCCCACAGCACCACTCCAAAAGACCTTGAGCAGACAGGGACATGGAAGGCTGCTCAGGGGGATGGATTCACACTTCAATTAATTAAAGGCCTGGTAGATGGGGTATGCTTGCTATCTCAACACTCAGAGGCTGAGCTGGGAGGATCATGAGTTCAAGGACAGCCTGGGTGCATGGCAGGTTTCAGGTCACCCTGAGCTGTATGGTGGGACCTATGTCATCAAGACCAACTAAATTTTGTTTAATATATTATAAAAAATTATATTATAAATATATTATAAATTATAAAAAAGTGAGAGTTATGCAATCCATTTCATAAAGCCTTCTACACTAAAGTGTTGTTCAAAATTAACTTCTGGTTTTCCAGAAAGTCCAGTACATTCATGGAGATGCCTCAGAACCGATTCTGGGTCAAACCTTAGATAATGTGAAACCGGAATCAACTGGAAGTGAGAAGCAGAGAAGAGCATTCCAGGAAGGAGAGACAGGGAGGGCAGAAGTCAGGCGGAAGTGGGGGGCCAGGGAGCGCTACTCACCATATGTCAACCTTCTCTGAGACAGGCTCATTCCGGATCACCTCTGGTGCCATCCATGCAACGGTGCCAGCAAAGGACATCTTGGTGCTTTTATCACTGAGTTCCTTAGATGTGCCAAAGTCTGAAATTTTCACTGCATCTGTGTGAGTCACTAAAACACTTTAAAAAGAAACAAAGACAACAAACAGATCATTAGCGCTAGTGAGAACTATGAGCGTAAGCAGTGACTGTCTACTCACCGGCTCCCACCCTGCAGAGCTCAGCTTACAGGTCCCATCGTTCTTGGGTACCATTCTCGAAGCTTGCACCCGCCAGGTGCTCAGCCTCCTCCTTGCTGACAGTGACTTCTGCCAAGCCACTTAGTCTTCTAGGTCTATGTTCTCTCTATAACCCATAAGTGGGACCGTGGCCTTAGGTACGCATCGCATTCAAGGGATGTGCCTGAGCTAAGAGGAGTGCTGAGTCTTCTCCATGCCAAGGATGGGCACTAATAACCAAAGTTCAGGCAGGTTCCGTACAAGGCATGCTTTGCTTTTCACGAGAGCCACTTACAAAGGGTCCTGGAACAAACTGCTTCTGCTAGTTTTAAAGGTGTATACAAGTGAGAATATTGATACTCCCCCAGGCCTACACACACACACACACTCACACACACTCACACTCACACACTCACACACTCACACACTCACACACACCACACACACCCACACACACACACACTCACACTCACGCACACACACACACGCACACACACGCACACACTCACACACACACACTCACACACTCACACACACTCACACACACACACTCACACACATACACACACACACACTCACACACACTCACAC